CGAGGATGGGGCCGGGCACCCCGGCGCGGGACAGGCGGAGCACATCCACCTAAGGGCGAAGACCCCACCTGCACCAGCAGCGGTCACGCAGGAGGAGAGGTCGGAGGAAGAGCCCCCGGCAGAGGTCGCGCGGGCGGTCGGTCAGACTTACCGTGCGCTCGCTAGGCGGGTAGAGTTTCAGAGGACAGGGCTCCGGTCCGCACCAGAGGAGGAGGACCGCCCCAGGGGGAGGGCCGCCGGGGTGGAGACGTCGGTGGTCCACCCTCGGCCTGGCCGAGAGCCACTCCCGCAGCCAGAGGGGCGGGCCGACCGCGAGCCGCTGCCCCAACCAGGAAGTTGGGCGCCCCCTTCGGGGGAGTCGAGTGGGTCCCGCGGGCCGGAGAAGCGGCCACAGCCCCCTGGTCACCGGGCGGAGGAGGACCCGCTCAGGCCTGGCGGACCTGCACGTGCTGCCGAGGCCGTGAGGGACCTCAACTCACCTGAGTCCTACTCGCAGGAGGACTATGAAGAGACAGAGGAGGAGGCCGAAGCACTTCGGCCGGTGCCTTTCCCAGGAGGCGGCCCAGACGCCCGCTATGCGTGGTGCGAGTGCTGCGGTGTGCAGGGCGAGGGCCGGGACACGAGCTGCCCGATGTGCAACAAGACCTACCCCATTTCGATGGCCAAGGACCGGTTGGCGGCAGCGCAGAGGGCAGCCAAGGCAGGGAGTGCCGCCGCGGTCGCCCCCCGGCACGGGGGAAGAGAGGAGCGTGAGCGTGAGGAGGTGGCGCGGCGCGCGGCACCGGAGGCTGGACCGCCCGAGGACATCGACCCGGAGGCGGTGAGCCGGTACCTGGAAGCGGCAGCAGGCAGCGGACAGGGCAGCGAAGGGCTCGAGCGGCAGCTCAGGCGGATCGCCAGGGAGGACTCCCGGCGCGCCGGCGGGCGTGCCGATGCTGGGTACGCGCCAGAGCTCCAGAGGTTGGTAGACGCAGCCGTGGTGGCTTCGGTGGCAAAGGGGACGAAGGCGACCTACGGCGTCGCTTGGAGGCAGTGGACGACGTTCTGCCGGATCCGCAGGAGGTCGCCCATCCTGCATGGTGAGACTCGTGAAGAGCGTCACCAAGATGAGGAGGAGCTGCTGCTGTTCATGGTGCACCTGTACAACAGCCTGAAGCGGTCGCACGGGACGATACGGTCAAAGTTGCTGGGGATCCGTTCACACCACGTGATGCTGGGTGAGCCCGACCCCTTGGCGGGTAAGCCGCGGCTGTGGATGGCGTTAAATGGGATAGAGAACTGGCAAGGGCCCGGAAAGAGGAAGCTCCCAGTTACGACCAAGATGCTGAGGAGAATCCGAGACATGCTGAAGCCGGACACTTGCGCGGACGACGCGGCCTTGTATTTCTGCGTGATCTTCGCTTTCTTCTTCATGATGCGGATTGGGGAGTACGCCCACTCCGGGCACTGGGATTTGAAGAAGGTCTTGACCGGGCTGGACATTGCCCCGAAGTGCAAGGGCGAGCAGGTAAGCCACTTCGCTGCCGCGGACGAGGTGGTGCTGTGGTTTAAGGCGTCGAAGGCTGACCAGAAGGGAGCAGGGCAGGCGAGGAACCACTACCGCTCGAACGACCCGTTCGGCATCTGCCCGGTGTGGGCGGCGGAGTGCTACAACCACTGGTTCCCGAGCCGTATCGCGGGCAAAGAGGCACATTTACCACTTGCGAGGTGGGAAGATGGCAGCCCGATCACGCGGGAGCGTATCCAGAGCTTGCTTCAGAAGGCGGCGGCGCTGGAAGGCTACCCACCCGACAGGTTCAAGAGCCATTCGCTCCGAATCGGCGGAGCGACGGCCCTGTACCACTGCTTCCAGGACACGGAGCTGGTCAAGCGTTGGGGGCGGTGGAACAGCGGGGCCTTTCACCAGTATTTGTGGGAGGCGAATGAGGACGCCGCTGGGGTGTCAGAGGCGATGGCGAAGTCTGTGGCGACCCTGCATGTGGGGTACAAGGTTGAAACGACGGGAGGCGGACCGGCTGCTGATGTGAAGAAGAAGCCGGGAGCCTGAGGCCAGTACCAGGAGTGCGAGTGTTGAGCCAAGGCGTGTCACCACTGGAGGAGCCGTTGCTGGATTGTGCGCAGTCCTGGGGTAACGGCCTGGGGGCAGTGGCGACCCCCTGGATCGACGGACGGAGGTGAGGTGGAGGAGGGCCGCGAGCCCCAGTCGGCACCACCCGCAAGTCACGGGCGCCGAAGGGGCGCGCGGAGGTGAGGAGGCCGAGGGCCGGGGCGCCCCGCCAGTGCGGTCCCCGAGGAGAGGAGGAGGTGGCTGGGGCGTCCCGCCAGTGCGGTCCCCGAGGAGAGGTTGAGGAAGCCGGCTGGTGCTACGCCAGCGCCGGCACGCGCTGTGCAGCGAGGCGCCCAGCTGTGAGCCCTGTTCGGCACCACCCGCAAGTCACGGGCGCCGAGGGGGCGAGAGGAGCTGGGTGGCCGAGGAGCCGCCAGTCTGGCGGCACAGCTGGGCCTCGGCTGAGGCCCGGCCTGAGCGTGGAGAAGGAGAGGTGCGGCATGCGCCTGATGATGCCAAAAGGCGCGCGCGCTCGCTGCCTCTGCCTTTTCCGTTGTGAGCCCGAACAGTGCTTGTGCTCGCCGCGTTGCCGTCGCCCCGGGCTCTCACTGTTTGGTTTTCTGCCAGGCACCTTCTCACTTAAACGTGAGAGTTTGAGCATGCGTAAAACGTAGGGCTTCAGGGAGTAAGTGCCTGGTGAGGGGGAAGGGTCTCTCCTGCTCTCTGTCCCTTTCCCCCTCCGCGGCCCCTTTGGGGCTCAAGTTTCTCTCTCGGGCCCGTCCCTCCCAGGCCCTCCCTGGCCCTTCGTATTTTCCTTTTCCTTTTTTCGGCCTTGACCGCTTAGCGGTTCGGGCCGAGGAGCCGCCAGTCTGGCGGCACAGCTGGGCCTCGGCTGAGGCCCGGCCTGAGCGTGGAGAAGGAGAGGTGCGGCATGCGCCTGATGATGCCAAAAGGCGCGCGCGCTCGCTGCCTCTGCCTTTTCCGTTGTGAGCCCGAACATTGCTTGTGCTCGCCGCGTTGCCGTCGCCCCGGGCTTCCTCACCCACGTGGTTTTCTGCCAGGCACCTTCTCCTTACAACCTCTCCCTCCTCCTCCTCCTCCTTCCCTCCTCCTCCTCCTCCCTCCCCCTCTTCCCCTCCTCCTCCTCCTCCTCCTCTCCCCCTCCCCCTCCCCCTCCCCTCCCCCTCCCCATCCCCATCCCATCCCCATCCCTCCTCCTCCTCCCATCTCCTCCCTCCTCCTCCTCCTCTCCTCCTCCTCCTCCTCCTCCTCCCCCCACCCTCCCCTCCACCCCCTCACCCTACCTCCACCTCCTCCTCCTCCTCCTCCCCTCCTCCTTCTCCTCCTCCTCCTCCTCCTCCCCTTCCTCCTCCACCTCCCCTACCTCCTCCCCTCCCCCTTCCCCCCTCCCCCCTCCCCTCCCCTCCCCCCTCCCCCTCCCCCTCCCCCTCCCACCTCTCCCCCTCCCTCCTCCTCCTCCACCTCCTCCTCCTCCTCTCCTCCTCCTCCTCCCCTCCTTCTCCCCTCCTCCTCCTCCTCCTCCTCCTCCACCTCCTCCTCACTCCTCCCTCCTCCTCCTCCCTCCTCCTCCCATTCCTCCCCCCTCCTCCTCCCCCTCCTCCTCCTCCTCCTCCGTCCTCCTCCTCCTCCTCCTACCTCCTCCCCTCCTCCTCCTCTGCCTCCTCGCTCCTTCATCCCCTCCTTCCTCCTCCGTCCCTCCTCCTCCTCCTCTCCCTCCTCCTCCTCCTCGCTCCTCCTCCTCCTCCTCCTCCTCCTCCTCCTCCCTCCTCCTACCTCCTCCTCCTCCCCCTCCCCTCCTCCTCCCCCTGCCTCCTCCTCCTCCTCCCTCCTCCTCCTCCTCCTCCTCCTCCTCCTCTCCTCGCCCCCACGCCCGCCTCGTCTGGGGCTCGGGACGGCGCCTGGCGGTCGCCCCCCTCGCCGGCCGTTCCTCGCCTGTCGGCACAGCCTGCCCGGTTGCTGCCCTGGGTCGGATGCGCGATCCTCCGCGGCGCTTCCGCCCCCTGCTGCGGAAAAGGAAGCGACCCAGGCATGATCGCGTCTTAAAAAAATCAGGACGGCAAGTTCTTGGCCAATTTCGGCCTCAGGAGGCCCTCGCCGGGCCTCGGGGCCGCCCAAAAACGACGCGGACTGAAAATCCGGTCCCGGGGAACAGGTCGGGACTCCCAGGGGCCCCGTCCCCAAAAAATCAAGACGTCGCAGGTCTGGGGAGGGAAGCCCAGGCCGGCCGGGAGGCGCGCCACGGAAGGCTGCTCCTGCGCGCTGCACCACCCAGGCTGCGGGTCCTGTCCGTAGCTGAACGGTTGTGGTTCACGGCGGGGCACGCTCCCGCGCCCGTGGGCCTCCTCCCTGCCTCTCCTGCCCCCCTCTCTCGGGTGCAGCTCTCTCGGGAGGTCAAGCTCTGACGTTGCCCTGGTCTGACTTCCCCCCGCCTCCTTCTCCCCCCCTCTCGGGCGCAGCTCTCGGGAGGTCAAGCTCCGACTGTGCCCTGGCCTGGTTTTCCCCTGCCTCCTTTCCCCCCTTCGCGAGAGGGGCGCCCTGGCCCCTCCAGGGGTGGCAACATAAAACAGCAAAAATAGCACGGTTTGCGACTGAAGAAATTTTGGGTCGACGTCGAAAAATCAGGCTTCGCTACTAAAGCGCCTCGGCGGCTCTGACGCCCAAAGACGTTTTCCTTTCGGGTGCAACTCTTGGGAGGTCGAACTCTGACTTTGCCCTGGTCCGAAACGTGGCTCAATCCGGCTCAGTCCCGCTCAATCTGGTTCAATCCCGCCTGATCCGGCGGAATGCCGCTTAATCCGCGGCCTAATCCGGCGCAGTAGCCCCAAACGGGGTTGAATTCTTGTTAGTCCTTCCGGCGAAGAACTTCCAGTAGTTGCCTCCCAATCCCCTGCCTCTTCCCCCCTCCCCTTCTCTCCGCTGGGTCGCTGCGGGAATGGCGCCACGGCCCGAGGGGCCCTTGTGGAGCCTGTTCGTCGAGTACCCGCTCTGCGACGCGGTGCTGCGGGAGATAGCGCCGCCGCGGGACCTCGGCGTCACCCCAACATACTAATACTATGCGTACGTCGCCCCCCCAGGGGCGACGCACGCACCGAGAAATCTTATTGTACATGCGTCGTGGCGGGCGCTTTCTGGCCACACCGCTCTGGAGGCGATCTGCTGCAAGATGGGTACACTATCTGTTCGGGTCGGACGCGCGCCTGGGGGACACACAGTATTAGCATGTCTCTGTGCGTCCCAGGACTTGCAGGAAGCCCGGGAAGCGCTCGAGATCTTCGACGACCAGCGGCTTGTCATCGAGGACCTCTTGCACGGCGGCGGCGCTCGCTCGGTGGTCAGCGTGGACCAGCTGTTCGACGGCGCCTTCCTGCGCGTGGTTGTCCCCAGGAGGAGGATCTTCGTGAGCCTCCAGGGGGCCGACGCGCCCGAGAGGGCCGTGGCGTGGTTCCCTGGCTCCGAGGCTGAGCAGATCGAGAGCGCCATCGCCAGGGCCTGCGGCCTGCCGCCCGGGACGGCCGTGGAGCTCCTGGACGGCGACGCTGCGGTGGTGATCTCGCCTACGATCCCCAACGATTCGGTGCTGAAGGTTCGGCTACGCCGTAAGTCTAGGCCTCCCAGATGGGGTATCGGAGCAAGTGGGGTCGGAGGACCGCGCCGCATCGCCAGTGAATCGGCGAGGCGGCTCGATGTGGAGCCCAATGTTCGTCATCGCCGACGTCGCCGATGCATCGACGGTGCGGCGCGATCCCCCGACCCCAGAGCGACCTCTGCTTCGACCACCAAAAACAAACGGCGCCGCCCCACCCGTGGCCCTCCCTGCCTGCGCTGCGGCCCATCGGGCGCCGCGGCACCTGCCGCGCGGAAGCCCGCGCCAGAGGTCCTGGCGTGCGCTAGGCTCCCTGGGGCCGTGGCCCCCCCCCTCCCTCCCTCCCTCCCTCCCCTCCTCCTCCCTCCCCCTCCCCCTCCCTCTCCCCCTCCCTCTCTCCCTCCCTCCCTCCCTCCCTCCCTCCCTGGGGTGGTGTCGGCTGTTTTCTGGCCCAGCGGTGCGGGCTCACAGGGGGGGGGTCCCCCCCAGCACTGGCCTGCGCGCGTGGCCTGGGGCCCCTCGTGGTCCCCCTCCAAAAAAAACACCTGAGGTCACGCCACGTGGAGGAGGGGGAAGGGGAAGGAGAAGAAGAAGAAGAAGCGGCACAAGCATGCACGTTGCTTATGTTTCACTGCTCGACAGTTCTTTGATTGTTTTGGGGGGCCAAGATCCTTTCATTCCCAATTGTTCCATCCTGGGCCTCTTCATGGCCACTGGGGGGTCAGGAACAATTAGAAACGAGCACAATTAGAAATGAGCGCGATTAGAAATGAACGACGTGTAGTTACACGTTCGACGGTCCGCGTGGATCTCAGGGACCTGCGCTGGATCCCCCTCCCCGAGGGCGTCCGGCGCAGATCCAGGATGTCCGCGCGGATTGTCGAAAGTTCATGCTTGTGTCGTCTTTTCCTCTCCGACCCTTGCCTGGGGCGGTCCCTGCGTGTAGCCAAAAGGTGAGCAACGCAAGAAACGGGCTCACATTAGCGCGCAAGCTTCCCGCGTAAAGCCGCGCGTGAGCGCCCTCGTCTCCGACGTAGCGTGCCGCGCTAGCGGCCCGCACAAGCCACCGCGTAAGGTCGCCATGTCTTCTCGTGCGAGACCCGTGGTGCAACGACGGCGACGGCGACGGCGGCGACGGCGACGGCGACGGCGACGGCGACGACGGCGACGACGGCGACGACCACCACGACGACGACAACCACGACGACGACGACGACGACGACGACGACGACGACGACGACGACGACGACGACGACTCTCGAGCCGCTCCTTGCTGGGCCTCTCGCCATTTCTTTTTGTCGCTCCGTGTGTTCCGTCGCGCGGCCTTACGTCTTGGGGAGGTTGCCTCGGCCACCAGGGCAAACTCCACCTCGGACCCAGGGCTTGCCGTGGCGTTTGCCGCGGCGCTGGCTGCGTCCGCCTGAGACACGGGACGCAGGGCGTGCCGTGGGTTTTGTGCCGTGGTGTCGGCATTGTCCACTAGAGCGCGTCGAGAACAAGCTCGGCGGCGAGCGAGGGGGGCAAGTGAGAAGGAGAAGGCCCTCTCAGAAGGCGGCGCGGGGCTTCTCAGACGCCCTCGCGGCCTTCTGAGAAGGTTTCCGTGCCCATGGGGAAGGCAGGAGAGACTCCTCGGGAGGCCGGGGACCTCCCGGGCCTTCCGAGAGGGCCCGCCCCCTCTCGCCTCCCCACCCCCCCCTCGCTCGCGACCGGCAGAGGGCGCGGCGACCTGCTCGTTCGCCGCTCAGAGGTGGCCCCCGTGGGCGACGCTTCGGGCTCCGCGGCGGCGCCGCCCGCCGCGCGCGCGGAGCCGCACTGCTGGCGGCGCGCCGCGCCGCCGCCCCCGGAGGAGAGCCCGCGGCAGTGGGGCTGCCGCGGGGCACCCCCCGGGCCGGGCCAGGGCAGGGCTGCCGGCGCGCGGGGAGGCTCGGCGACGACGACGACGACGACGGACGACGACGACGACGGACGACGACGACGACGACGACGACGACGGACGACGACGACGACGACGGACGACGACGACGACGGACGACGGCGACGGACGACGGACGACGGACGACGACGGACGACGACGACGACGACGACGACGACGACGACGACGACGACGACGACGACGACGACGACGACGACGACGACGACGACGACTACGACAACTACGACGACCGACGACGACGACGACGACGACGACGACGACGACGACTACGACAACTACGACGACCGACGACCGACGACCGACGACGACCGACGAGGTGGGATGGGATGGAGTACACGCACTCGGGGCCAATGCCCACGAACACGACCAGCTTTTCCGAGAACCCGATGACGGACCAGGAGGCCTGAACGCGTCCTTCAACGTGACGCCCAGCTTCATGAGCCCGACGCCCTTCGCCTGCTGCTCGGCTCCGTAGCCGTGCCCAGCTGGTCCGAGTACTCGTACTCACCAAGGCCAGCCAGAAGTTCCTTCATCCAAGGATCCGCCATCGAGGTCGATAGAGCGACGGATTGCCTCGAAGTACAGATCCCTCTCATGATCAGCCATTCCCCGCAGCATCCTCAAGCACGGGTCCACCATCAGCTTGCTGAGCGGCTGCGGAACGAGCCCCACGAGCAGCTGCGCGAGACCGAGGAAGGCATCCACCTCGACGGTCTCCTCGGCCTCCACCGCTTCGGCCTCCGCGTGCTCCTGGACCTCCGCAGGGACCTCGCTCTGCGGTGCCTCCTCGGATCGGGCCTGCCCCTTGGCGCCCACCAGCACGTCGTGCTCGAGCCGCCAGATGGCGATGCGACAGGCCTCCGCCGCGGCCGCCTTCGCGTAGGCCGCCTGGTTGGCCTCCACCGTGGCAGCGCCCAGCTCCTCTTCTTTCCCGCGTGCGGCATCGCCCCGACCCCAGCGCTGTAGCTGATCATGTCGGGTTCGCCCACCTCTTCCTCGTCGTAGGTCTCAGCCTCGGCCGTGCACACCTCGCTGGAGACCCCGGCCTCCCGCTCCGCGAACACGACGCTCGGCAAGTGGACGACGTTCTCGACGTGCTCGACCGTCGGCACCTCCACTATCTTGTCGTTCTTCTCGGTCTCCTGGGCCGCAACCTCAGGCACGCAGACGATGTGCTCGACGTGCACGGCCTTTGGCACCTCCGCGCCCACAACCTTCAGCACGCGGACGGTGTCCTCGACAGACTCGGCCCTCGGCACCTCCACGTTCGTCACGATCTCGGCATCCTGGATCTTCTCGATCCCCTGGGACACAAGCTTCGGCACCGTGCAGTCCGCTGCAGTTGCGGAGGTAGCCGAACGGGTCCGAGATCTGCCCTTGTCCTCTCCGCTGCCCCCCCCTCGCGCTGCTGCCTGCCCTCGAGGCCGGGGCGGGAGTCGAGGTTCTGCCGAGGGTGGGCCCTCGCAGGCGCGTGCTCGCAGCGATGCACTGCGAGCTCTCCCTGCGGCTCCCGGCGTCTCGACCACCGCGAACGGCGCCCTGCAGCCCTCGAAGCGCCGCACCGCGGTCGCCACCAGCGGCGGGGAAAGGGGGGGAAGCTCGCCGCACAGCGGCTCCGGCGCCTCGCCCGTGCCCTCGCCGCACTCCTCCTGCACGGCCGCGGGGGTCTCCGCGGAAGGCCTCGGCCGCAGGGCCTGGCCTGGCCCGGCGCCTCCCGGGACCTCTCCCGCCTGCGCGCCAGCGGTGCGCGGACGGGCCCCGGCGGCCTCGCACTCGCCCTCGAGGAGCCCGGCCACCATCGCGCCGGCGACGTGGAGCGAGTGCACCACGATCTCCACGGCCCCGCGGCGGGCGATGAGCAGCGGCTCGTCGAGGGCCGCCTCCCTCCTCGCCGCGTCGTCGACCACGCTCGCGGCCCGAGCACGGCTCCTAGCAGACGGGCCGCTCTGGAGCACGCCTGCCGAAGCTCTGCGGCTCCCCACCCGCCAGAGCCAGAACGGCTCGACGACGACCGACGACGACAACGACGGCGACAATGACGACGACAAGGTCGACGGACGACGACGACGACCGACGGACGACGACGACGACGACGACGACGACGACGACGACGACGACGACGACGACGACGATGACGACGACGACGGACCACGACGACGACGGAAGACGACAACGACCGACGGACAGAGACGACGACGGACAACGACGACGACGACGACGACGACGACGGAAGACGGACGGCAACGGCGACGATGACGACGACTAGGCCGACGAAAACAGACGACGACGACGACGACAGACAACGACAGACGACGGACGACGACGGACGACGACGACGACCGACGACGACGACGTCCGACGATGACGACGAATAGGTCAACGACGACGACCGACGACAACAGACGATGGACGACGACGACGACGGACGTCGGACGACGGCGACGACGGACGACGACGACGTCCGACGATGACGACGACAAGGCCGACGACGACAGACGACGACGACGACGACGACGACGACGACGACGACGACGACGGACCACGACGGACCACGACGGACGACGACGACGACGACCATGACGATGGCGACCATCACGACAACGGACGACCACGACGACGTCCGAAGACGACGACGACGACGACGACGACGACGACTACGACGACCGACGGACGACTACGACGACGGACAACGACGACGACGGACGACGACGATGACGATGACGACGACTAGGCCGACGACGACCGATGACGACGACGGATGACGACAGACGACGACGACGACGACGACGACGACGACGACGCCCGACGATATCGACGACTAGGTCGACGACGACGGACGACGACGACGGCCGACGATGACGACGGATGACGACGACGACCGACAGACGACGACGACGACAACGACGACGACGACAACGATGACGACGACGACGACGATGACGACAACTAGGCCGACGACGACAGACGACGACCTCGGACGACGACAGACGACGGACGACAACGGCGACGACGACGACGACGCCCGACGACGACGACGATGACGGCGACTAGGCCGACGACGACAGACGACGACCTCGGACGACGACAGAAGACGGACGACGACGACCGATGACCGACGACATCGACGACGTCCGACGATGATGACGACTCGGCCGACGACGACAGACGACGACGACGACGACGATGACCGACGACGACGATGATGGCTACGATGACGACGACTAGGCAGACGACGACGGACGACGACGACGTCCGACAAAAACGACGCACGACGACGACGACCGACGGGCGACGACGACGATGGACAACGACGACGGACAACGACGACGACGATGACCGACTAGGCCGACGACGACAGACGCCGACGACGGACGACGACGGACGACGACGACGATTGACGACGACGACGGCGACAGACGACGGAAGACGACGACGGCGACGATGGCGACGACTATGCCGACGACGACAAACGACGACGTCGACGACGACGACGACCGACGACGACGACGATGTCGACGATGACAACGACTAGGCAGACCACGACGGACGACGACGATGTCCGACGAAAACGTCGGACGACGACGACCAACGGACGACGACGACGACGACGGACAACGATGACGACGGACGACGACGATGACGACAGCCGACGGACGACGACGGACGACGAATACGGACGACCGACGACGACGACGACGACGTCCAGCCATGACGACGACTAGGTCGACGACGACGGACGACGACGGCGACGACGACGACGACGGCGACGACGACGACCGACGACGACTGACGACGACCGACGGACGACGACGACTAGGCAGGCGACGACGACGACGACGGCGATGATGACGACGACTAGGACGATGACGACGGACCACGACGGACCACGACGACGACGGCGGACGACGACGACGGCGGACGACGACGACGACCGACGGACGACGATGACTAGGCTGACGACGACAGACGACGACGACGATGACGACGGCTAGGCAGGCGACGACGGACGACGACGACGACGTCCGACGACGACCACGGACGACGTCCGACTACCGACGGACGACGACAGACGACGACGACGACGACCGACGACGACGTCGGCGATGACAGACGACTAGGCCGACGACGACAGACGACGACCTCGGACGACGACAAACGACGGACGACGACGGCCTACGACGACGACGACCGACCACAACGACCACGTCCGACGATGTCCACGACTAGGTCGACGACGACGGGCGACGACGACGACCGACGCACGACGACAACGATGGACGACGATTGCAACTCACGGACGACGACTAGGCCGACGACGATTGACGACGACGACGACGACGACGACGACAGACGACGGACGACGACGACGACGACCGACGACGACGACGATGACGGCGACGATGACGACGATTAGGCAGACGACGATGGCGATGGCGACGACCGACGACGACGAAGGACGACGACGACGGATGACGACGACAACGACGGACGACGGACGACGATGGCGACGACTAGGCCGACGACGACGGAGGACGACGACCACGACGACGACGATGACGACGACGACGACGTCGACGACGACGGCGACGGCGATGATGATGACGACTAGGGCGATGACGACGGACGACGACGACGTCCGACGACGACGGCGGATGACGACGACGGCGGACGACGACGACGACCGACGGACGACGATGACGACGACGACGGCGACGATGGCGACGATTAGGCCGACGACGGCGGACGACGACGCCGACCGACGACGACGAACGACGACGACGTTGGACGACGACGACGATGACGACGACTAGGCCGACGACGACAAACGACGACGACGACGGACGACGACGACGACGACGACGACGACAGCGACGGACGACGACGATGGCGACGACGACGGGGGTGATGACGGCGAT